GTGTCAGGCTGCAGGTAAGCCTTTTCCTATTCTCATACAAAACTAAATATGCTTTCATCTGTATCAGTAGTGTTATGCAGTTATACTTTGTATTACCAAGTATGTCTAAGCATGCATTTTCCATATCTTGACCATCTTCTGTCAATCCATTTGATTGATATGCTCGTACTGAATTCCATTTTGATGAACTATATTATTAATGGGTAATGTTAACTTGTGCCCTTGGGGCACATGTTAAGGAAACCACTTTTAGTAAATTTGTATTGAAAAACACAATTTAAAAATTAATTTTATACTTTAATTTAAGTTTGTACACAATTTCCAAGATGATATTTCTTAATTTAGTTCTTAACATGTGCCCCAAGGGCACAAGTTAACATTACCCATTATTAATTATAATTTGCATTAGCTAATTATGATGAGCCATATATTCAATTAAGTTTCTAGAGAAACATATATTCCCTAAACAAATATAAATATTATTAAATCTTTACTCATTTCATTTCATATTTTTCCCGATCCCTTTATGATACTGCATATCTCACTCAATGTGTGATGTAAAGAAAGATTTTGCACGGTGTCTCTGAATAATATACTTTAACACAATCATATTTGAATAATCTAACAATGTTACAACCAAGTCATTTTACTCTCACCCCCCAATTGAAACATAAAACCAGAATCTTATTCTTAAGTTGAATCATAAATAACTCATTAATATTGTTTATTGAGTTATAAATTGTTTTTGTCATCTTATAGTAAAATGTAAAGGTAAAAACATGTTTCTTTTCTATTTGAATTTCAGGTGTTGGAACTTATAGTAGATACTAAAGTTGAATTAAATTTCTAAGGTCTTTGTTAAAAGTGAAGTCTATTCAGCTTGATGTTGTTTTGGTAAGAAATCTATCCATCTTAATACAGGGTGAGGAAGTGGATTATAGAGGTACAGTCCACCGGGACGGATCTGTTCTCATGTCAGTCTCCTTTGATCAGTTAAAGGTAACATTTGAGCAGCCCCTTTGCTTTCTCTTCTTTTTTGGTTGACCAAATCTCCCTGTCAATGTATCTGTTTGTGTTAATCACATTTATATCCCCTTTATTCCATAATTTTAACAGACGCCAGACCTCCTTTACAAGTCCCTTGCTGCAAAACTCATTGTTGGAAAGCCATTTAAGCTTTTGGTTACTAAATCGTATTCGATTAAATGTACTCTGGATTTAAATAACAAGTTATTTACATGGTATGCCCTGTATATTCAATATTCAGGATCTGGCAACAGTTGATTCGATCTTATTGCGGGAGCTTCCTCCGGTCGATGATGTTAATGCTGTAAGACCTAAGAACCTTCACATTGAGATCCAAGTCAAAATTAGGAGCATTTACTTTTCATCTTTTTTATCCACCAACCCATTTCTACATTTATTGTGACCGATGGAATAATTTTCTCTTCGTCTCTCTTGTTTTTGGTACCATGATCAGCGGTTAGCTCTAAAAAGACTGGTTGATATAAGTATGGGAGTTATAGTGCCTTTGTCAGAGCAGCTAACAAAGCCATTACCAAATGCCATAGTTCTGGTAAACCTTAAGGAGCTATCGGCTGATAAGCTTTTGCCACAAGGTGCGCTTGCATTTTTTCCCCTTTTTATATTCTTAGTAAATGTGTGATCTTATATATCTATTGGTTACATATTAGGCACACTATTGGCTGTGTCAGTATGTGGCGACGAGCCTTATGAAGAGCTATAAATTCTCAAAGGTGTTGATGCAACTATGATTCTCCATGATCTTCCTTATATTGAAGACCGAGTTAGTAGAGTGCACGCAGCAAGACGGTGAGAAAGACAGGCTGCATTAGCTGCTGGAATACCTACTTCTGTTGTCTGCACTACTATTAACAAGGTTTGCTCATCACGGATGAAAGCTATCTATCTTCTTTTTCTTTTTTTGATTTTGTAAAAGGCTATTCCTGCTTATATCAAATCATGATTTTTTCTTTTTCATTTCAACTGCCATGCTTGCTGCGCAAAGAGTTCAGTTGGGTTCCAATGATGTTGTTGTGGTTGGCGTTATGGAAAGCATGTCAAATGCACCTAAGTACATTGTTGAAGCAAGGAAAGGATATCGGTTAGGACATGATACTATCATTGATGGTATACTCAAAGATGGCCTTTGGGATGTCTATAATGATTTTGGTATGGGAGTTTGCGCAGAACTCTGTGCAGATCAGCATTCCATAACTAGAGATGAGCAGGTACTGTTGCTAGCCAATGGAACTTTGTTAGAATTTTGCACTAGATTTTATTATTGTTTCTTGCTTTAACAACTTTCGTCAACTCCTTTAATTGCTTCAATTAGCTTAATCAATATTAACATTTGAGAAGCCTGTCAATATCAATGAAAGGGCTATGATTCTCAGAATACCATGACCCCCTTTTAATTGTTTTGGAATAGCAAAGTTCTTGATTTGATCATATATTTCCTAACTTTGATATGATAATTGTACTTTCTTGTCGCATGACTCTTTTCTCCCTTGAACTTTCTTTCTTTTGGGTAATTTATGTCCCTTTAACAGTTTTTTTATCTCCTTTGAATCCATAGTTGTGTCTTCCCCTGAAAGCAATCTAATTGAAGATGATTTGGATAGTCAAGACTCAACTTTTGTAATGATCAAGACTCTTATAGAATCTGTACTCGATGGTGGTGATGATAATTACGATGACGATTACTATAATTGTGATTATGATAATTCCTCAATGGATGATATTATGGCGGAGCTGGTCCAACATGGATCTAGAGTTGCTAAACTAAATCTTTCTTACCAACAGTTGAATCTAGGAAGGGATCCATTCTTTTTGTCTTCCCACTCTTGCCCATGCGGCAACATTCATCATGGTGATCATGAGATTAGAAGGTTTTATTTTGAAGCTGATGAATCAATGTTCCAACAGGGCATAATGCCATCACTTGAGGTGCCTATTATTATTATTATTATTATTATTATATTTTGTGATAGCTGCTCGTGGAGGTGAAATAAGAAGAATGTGAATATTAATGAAATTGAAGCTATTTTTTTTATTCTTTATATGTATTACTGTTATGTTATATTAATAATGTAATATGATTCATTATCTTGTGTGGTAAATTAAATTGATGTCACATAGATAGTGGCTTAGAATAAGAAACTGAATAGTGAGTCATAAATCTCTTGTTGTTTTGTTGTTTAAGTCCTTTTTGTAACATGTAAAGAATAATGTGTAATGTTCCCATGTATGTACACAGGTTTGTGCAAGCGTGTCATCGGATTCATCAAATATGAACAAACTACTCCAATGGAATGACCTCTATGGAGAAGGTGGATCAAGAAAAAAGACATCTTTGAGTTATTTCATGTAAAGCTAGCTCTATAGAATATATAGCTCGAGTTGTTATTCTATTACCTAAACTGTGCCATAGGTGTCCAAGGAGAAGGAGGAGGATGAAGTTCCTGCCCCAGATTATGTTGTTTCCCACTTCTGTTTGATTTCATCTATTATGCCATGTAGAAAATGTAAATCTTCGGTTAAAGTATATATTGCTCCTTCTGGCGTTAGCATGTATGTGGCTTGATTTTATAGTAACTCTTGATTTTATAGTAAATCTTGTTAAGGATAATAAAGAAGGATCTTTGAGATTAGGTGAACTTGTTAAATTAAAAATTGTCATTGCTATGGTTAGGTTCAAGCCTTACACTAGATTTATATTTTGTTTGTTTTTTAACCATTTGTTGTTTAAAGGGCTCTTATGAAATTACAAAAAGAAGTGATATTTTATATTATTATATTTAACAATAATTATAATATTTTAATATAAATTAAAAAAAAATTAACAACAAAAACTAAAAACATGAGAGAGAAATTACCGGCGATTTTACCTGCGGAATTCTAGTTTGCTGCGACATTTCCTGCGAAAATTTCATTTACCTGCCTTGTTATCTGCGAATTTATCTATTTTACCTGCGACATTTTCCTCCGACTTCACCTGCTATATTAATTACCCACGAAGGTTTTAGTTGGGAAGAAAATAGTAGGAAGAATCGCAGGTAACACATTTTCTGTGGAAATTTTATCAAAATCCGCAGGTAAATCCGCAGGAACACAGAGTATTTCTAATAGTGATTTAATTTAAGAGCATAATTGTAGCAAGTCATTGTTATGGGATCTCATGGATTTACAAAACTTCCTTTATATATATATATATATATATATATATATATATATATATATTTGATTTGCACCGACTAATTCAATTTAAAAATTAGTTTTGATATTAAATAGTTCAAACCTCTTCTCAATTAAAGTTATGGGATAGCAAACAGTAATTTACTTTAACAAATTTAATGAATCACCGAAAAACTAATATTTGGATCATAATTTTCCTTTCTGCTTCATAACTTTCCTGTCTGTTTCTTAATATATGTGTGGATAAAGAGTCCGATCTTAAAATAAAAAAATAAATACAGTAGTTACAAAATATAACATATAATAATTCGTGATGCATCAACCAATTTTATTTTATGCCAATTACGGTTTACCACCTCGTACGTACGTCACATGTTAGCATATTTCTTCTTTGAAGCTACCGTGTATTAGATTACAATGAACATTTATAATATAATGAGTCACATTGACGTTTAGAATAACATATCAATGTTTGAATTAATTAAGATTTCTCATTAATCATCATAAAATAAGACTACGCATTCTATTAGTAAAAGAAAAAGACTATGCATTCTACATAAAAATAAATGAAACCAAAACTATGCAGAGGAAGCTCACGCCATACGTCTATTCTTTTGACTAGTTTACAAAAAAATTATTTAAAATACTATAAATTTAAAAAACTATGCAGAGGAATATTTTATTTTTTCGGTTGATATCTCAACTCATTCTATATAAATACTTGGAACAATATGTACATCTTTTCATACAAAGTTTTATCTTCTAGTTAGTTTTAGTAAAAGATGAAGATTCCCTACAACTCAAACCCATTTCGCTTCTTCATCATCTTCACTGCTTGCTTATGTAAATACTTTGCCGTTCAAGAAAAGAAACCTGCACATTTAAATATATCCTCAAATTTTGAGATCGCAACAAATAACTATTCCCCTATACTTGATAAGCTTCCGAATCAAGATGATGTTTTAAAACTATTTCAACAATGGAAGAAAGAACATGGACGAGTCTACAATGATCTAGAAGAGATGTCAAAGAAATTTGCCACTTTTGTTTCAAATTTGAAGTATATCGTAGAGACTAATGCAAAGAGAGACTCACCTAATAGCGCTTTTCTTGGTCTCACCGACTTTGCTGATTTGAGCAACAAGGAGTACAGAGAAACATACATGACCTTAAACACTGAGTCCATGGATTTTTCAAACGACGATGATGTTCAGGACGTCACATGTAGCGATCCACCTTCCACCTTGGACTGGAGGTCCAGTGGAGCTGTCACTCCTGTTAAAGCTCAAAACGGCTGCGGTAAGTTTGTTGAATTTTTATAATTCACATCACACGCAAAATAATACTTCCTTTTCCTTAGGTTGTTGTTGGGCTTTCGCATCTGTTGCCGCTATTGAAGGAATAGTTGCAATAAAGACAGGGAATCTTATTAGCCTTTCAGAGCAAGAGCTTCTAGATTGTGTACCTGGTGGAAGTTGTTCTGGAGGACGAACAACCGATGCAGTGAATTGGGTAATAGGAAACAAAGGGATTGCATCACGAGCTGATTATCCTTATACGGCTAGCAAGGGTGATTGCAGAGCCTCCCAGGTTCTTAATTTCTATCCAATTTATTATTCTATAGTTTCTATAACCACGCATTAAAACCTATTAATATTTCCTCTCTTATTCTTTTCATGAAATGTAGATTCAAAACAGTCCTGGTAGTGGTATTGATTCACGTCAGCCCGTGCAGAGAACAGACAGGGCACTATTGTGTGCAGTTGCTAAGCAGCCTCTAATTGTTGTTATTTATGGAGACTCACCCAGTTTTCAAAGTTACAAGGGTGTAAGTCCTCTATAAACTTTTAGAAAACATATTATTATCAAAATATCTATCCTACCCCCACTTGCAAATTTGAGATGTGTCTTTATTTCTATGTATGGTATTTATATCACCCAGTTACAAGATTTACATGTTATAATTATATAAATAAATAAAAGTTAATTATAACATATTATAAAAATGACATACCCAACTTACAAATTGTTATAATGTTAATCTTATATAACAAAAATTGAAAATTTATATTAATTTAATTATATTAAAAATTAAATAATTATATTATGTTAATAATAATTAATTTAAAATTTGTTTTTTTTTTTTGAAAATAAATCATTTAAAAATTATACGAACATACCATTTATATACATATACTTTATATCTCATTAATTATTATATTTTGATATTTTTTGATATTTTTTAAATAAATATTTGATTTCTATTACATTTGATTTACGATTTACGTAATCAATCTCCCTATTTTAAAATCAAACAATTTTAGTTTCTTTTTCATAATTTTTTCTTAAAATTGACAAAATCTTCATTTCTATTAAATGAAGAAATGAAATTTGACAAATAATCATATAAGAATAAGTTGCAGAGCATTATAAATAAAAATACATTAATATAACTATTGGATAAATATTTTTCAGTGTACATAAAATAAAAAGATAATTATTAGTCACTTATAGTTATTAAAAATACGGAATACAAATTTACATCAAATTTGGCATTGTTTAATTAAAAAAAAATGTGACAAGTTTTCCACTGATATATATATATATATATATATATATATATATATATATATATATATATATATATATATATATATATATATATATATATATATATATATATATATATATATATATATATATATATATATATATATATATATATATATATATATATATATATATATATATATATATATATATATATATATATATATATATATATATATATATATAATAAAAAATATTGAATATTTGTTTCTGTTTGATGGATAAAATATATGTTAAATATTTTTTTTTGATAAATATAAAAAAAAAGTGAGACACATATTTGTCAACAATAAATAAATAACACAATATAAACACTTAATTCAGAATGACAAACTCGCTTTAAATTTAATGCACTTATTCAAAATCAATCTATGATTATCATAATCATTGTATTTAATTAAGTTGAAACTCTTAAAATGTTTCATGAAATTTTTTTGGGTTATATATGTACATCGTCTTTTTAAATGATTTAATTTTTGGTTTTAGTTTTTTAAAATATTGTTTTTAACAAATAATTTTTCTATAAGTTTTCATCTACATTTTTGATCCTTTTTATAAATTAGCAACTGTATTTATAACTTAGCGACATAATTAGCGATAATTTATTACTTAACGATTAAATTAACGACGGTTTTAACAACAAAATTTTAAAAAGACTATTTTTTTTTAAAAAATATTTTGAAAAATTAAAAATTGAATTAAAATATTTAAAAAAATCACAAACATATTTAACCCAATTTTTTTTATTAATTATATTATTTTAGTTTCAACTACATTGATTTAGTTTTATATTATATTGATCTATATTATTTATTATATGTTTTATTAATTCACACTAAATATTTAATAATAAGATCCGTGCTATTTGCACAGGTATTTGTCCAGTAGTTATATATTGTAGAGTTCATAAATTTTTGTTTATTCATGTTCACTATTGACTTTGTTTAAACTCATTTAACAACTAGCTATCAGATTAAGCTTTTAAAAAAGATTTTGTTATCGCAAAAATGGTAGGGATAAAACTGAATCGAAAGGTGCTGATTTTGATATTCCCCATTTTTATTTTGAGAACAAAATCATTGTGGAAAATTTTTTATGACTATGACAAAACACCATTACTACCACGAAATATCGTAATGTATATGAAACGTCGTTACCGCACCGTAATAGAAGCAAAAGTTTCAAAATCAAAATATATAAGCATGATTCTAAATTTTAAATTGTAGTCCGAATTCACAACTATGTCTACCGTGCGCATAAAAAGCCGTGTCTCACAATTTTGGCCATGTTCGTTCTGTTTTTCTCGCCAAAAATTAAAATTTTAGAACTCCTAATATCACTCTTACTTTGATGTAATAAAAAATGTTAATTTTAATTGTTTCTCAATGTATATTTTAAGCATCTCGTACTCAAAATTCATGTCGCAACACCGCAATATTCTTTGCAACAACCGTAATAACCGCACATACAATTGCAATTACAACTGTAATTTAAGCATTCCTTATAGTTTTTTAAAAGTATTTTTACATTAGTTTCTGAAGAACGTATTTATTCATTGACAGGGAATATTTAAAGGTGAAGATTGTCCGGCGGATCCTAAAAATGTAACTCACGGCATGGTAATAGTGGGTTATAATTCCGAAAATGGTGAAGATTATTGGATTGTGAAGAACTCACGTGGGACAACATGGGGAATACAGGGTTATATGTGGATCAAAAGGGACTATAATAAACAGTATGGAGTGTGTGGAATCAATGGATTTGCTTCTTATCCAGTCAAAAATTAAAAGGCTACATTTGAAGAATAAATTAAAGCAAGGCTTATGGTTTTCTGAGTCTAGAGTTTGTTGTGTGATTATTCTTGATGTTGTTTTGAATATGTCAAGTGTCTTGATCATGCTTGTTATTCTCGATGTAACATATCAGTCATGATAATAAAATAGTTGGTATTTTGTGATAAGTAGTATATTTCTCCTTTACGGTGACTTAGAGAATTCTATTTTCTTTGTTCTTGAAAATAAAAGAGACAGAGAATTTAATTTTTTTGGGGTCATGAGGAGGAGCATAAACATTGGATTAAGAGTAACACGCGAGTGAGAGCCACCACATATATCCATCTAAAATTTTAAGGTAATAGGTGTATGAATTCTCCCACTTATAAATACTCAAGTCTCCAAATTTATAACCAATGTGGGACTCCAACTTACACTTGACTTATTATTGTCAACACTCATCCTCAAGTGTAAGTGCACAATGCTCTCTCTTCAAGTGGAAACTCTTTTGTTCACATATACTTGTACCGCCGTTCACGCCTCTTTCTTGGGCATTGCAGGACACCTCTTCATGGGCATTTCGATACAAATAAGCTGGTCTCTTTACTCGAACTAAAGGCTCATGATACCATTTGTTGGGTCATGAGAAGGAGCATCAACATTGTAGCCACATTGTTGGTGACTTGATCAAGCTTTGATCAAGGGTTTATAGGTGATTGATTCAATAACTAATAAAAGGGTTTGTGGGGTTAGAATTCTACACTTTTATTATAAACAATTTTGCAAAGACAAGGTTAATTGCAAGTATCTCAATTCAATTTCGGATTGAGGGCACACGTATCAATAGCAAGGCCGATTGGGAAACTGCCTGAACAAATCTTTGTGTCTCTTTATCGCTTTAATTTTCTTTAATTGTTGTTATTAAATATTATCGATTTTGTTGTTGTTTCGATTAATTCGATTGGAAATTATTTTCAACTTTCTTTTAAATTTTTGTTTTGGATATAATCACAATCACTTTGAATGTGATTGGCTTTTTACATCAACAAAAGAAAGCGAATTTCCAAATATGATCAATCACACTCAAAGTGTTCGATAAATTGTTTTTGAGTATTTTTATCACTTTGTGTTCATTTGAAATAAGCATTACGAATAGATTTGCATTTGATTGATCTGTGACTTGATAATTCTTGAACAATTTGTATTTATTATCATTCCAAAAGGTTTACGCTACACATATAACTTTTTGATAGTAGGTTCGGTTAGACGATTTGATTCAGGTTTTTTTTTCTGTTGTGTCATACTTTTTGAAAAAGTATTTTTGCCAAGAGTTTTTGGTTTTAAATTTGTGATATATTCACCCCCTTTTAAATCGAAGTCTATCATCTAACAAGTGGTATCAGAGCCTGCTTAATTTCGTGCTTGAGATTTACTCTTTAGATGAATGGCTACTGAACCTAAGGGAGCGTATAATAGAGAACTAATTTTCACCGGCGAAAATTAGCTATTGAAAAGCTCGTATGCGCATTCACCTCAACTCTGTTGACAAAGGTATATGGGACGCTATTAAAAATGGTCCAAATGAAATAACGATGACCGATAAAGGTGTTACCGTACTATAATACCCTAATTTTTACCCCTAAGATCCCACATATCATTTGCATCTCATTCCACAAACAAGATCGCAAGTTTTGGTTCTCTTGCCTTCCTCTATGTGTTTATTCTTGAGAGATCACCAGACACACTTGTTTTCTTGTTTGTTTGATATTTGTTTGTGTTTATGTTTACTAACCATTATTCAAAATCCAAAAAAATATTTGTTTTTCCTTTACTAACTTTTTCAGGAAGAATTTGGAGTAAAAATATCAAGTACTAGTCCCTCAACTTGAATGAGTTTTATCTGAAACAAGTTAAAGTTGATCTATAAACAATTCAAAATCATTAGATCAAGGGTTTCCAAGATTTGATTTGTTTTTTATTCAAGAGACTCCAATGTTCGTGTGTTTATTTCTATGTCTTCTTTGACAAGCAAAAATAATCGAGTCAGAACCAAGACATCACATTAAAAAGGCAATTTTTCACCATTTTTACTGTGGTAATCGATTACTAGTATTAAGGTAATCGATTACTCTGTGCGCATTTTGCGAAAATTGGCCAAATTCAAATTCTGTAGCATTTTTGGCACCAAATTCAAATGTTTCATCATGAGAATATTTTAGATCACTTTATTTTAATTCATCTGCCTTATGATAATTAATTCCCACCATACACCTTCACTAATCACCACTTAATTATTAATTTCCCTCCAAATTCAAATTCCAAGCCTAATTTTGATTCCAAACCAAACTCCAATCCACCAAATTTTCCAAGCCTAACTCCTATAAATAGAGGCTTCATTTCTCTCATTTCACAAGCTTTTGATAGCCAAATTCACCTTGTCAATTTCTCTCTTGACTCTCTTTTTTCTCTAACTACCAAATTCACCAAAGCTCTTTCTTCCTTTGAAAGTTAGTAAGTTCATCATTAGAACTTACTAATCTTTGAGCTAAACCTTCATCCATTCACTTTTTCATCATCAATTTCAGTAGATCATGGCTTTGGAGTGTGGTTCTTGGAGTTGATTTGAAGAATTTTCAGATTTAGAGTGATAATTTCTTGATCCACCATTGTTGTTCTTGATACATCCTTCACATTATGATATATTGTTGATTCTTATTGCTTGATCTTTGGATCTTGCAAATTATGTTCTATTGGTGTTGATTGCATTTATTTCACTTAAATTTTCGTGCTTAATTGCATCCTTGATCATGAGGTATTTGAAGAAATGATTGATCAAGTTTTTTCACATTTTCAAACTGTTTGACTGGTATTTTAACAGTGGTAATCAATTACCAGCTTAGGGTAATGATTACTCAGTGTCCATTTTGCCATTTTGGCTTTGTTTTGGAACTGTTTTGGTTCTTTCTTTCTTCTTCTTCCTTTTCCTTTTGGTTTTTACCTTGGAATACACTTTTAAAGGTCATTTTCCTTAGGATGTAGATGAAGTTGGATAAACATTCACTAATTCAAATCTATCCTTAAAGTGAATTGTTCAATTCATTTTAGATGCTTTGAGTTAATGATATGTTTAGTTCTTTAATCCACCAAGATGAGTGGATGAACTTAAAGATGAAATGATCTTGAAATTGTAATTCAATTTAGCATTCCCTCTCCTCTTCTCTTTTTCTTTTGATCGATGAAAATCTTAGATATCATTTGAACTTATTTCAAGTTCTTGATGAATATGAGATCGTTACCATTTTTCTTTTCGTGCGGTATTGCTTTCGGAGAGTGATCTACATATCACTTCTACACAAACCCAATTACGATTGCTTAACATAGCGCTAAATTGTCCCGTAATCGGAAAGTAATCATTCGTGGCGCAAACTTATGTTTCTTTCTCGCTCCTTATATCTCTTTTATATTTATGCTTCATTTTTATCATCTCATATCATATTATTGTTTATGTTTCCGTTATTTTTCCTTTGTTCGTTGGACACATGTTTATATTTCCGTCATTTTTATTTTGTCCATTTGGACCATATCTTGTTCAAAACATTAATAAAGGATTAAACCTCTAAAAAACTTGGTGCTCTTAACTTTGTGGTTATCCTCTTGGATTATTCTTAGACCTTGGACCTCTTGGACTATTATTTGACCCTTGGACTTAGAATTAGGTCTTTTTTCCTATGCTTGGAGTATTATGCATCTTTGCCTTTATTTGGCTTGATCATTTGTTTATGCTCAAGGTGGATGAAATTCTTATTTGGCTTGCTATGCAGTGTGCTACAATTAGGTTAGATCCTTCTTATCTCTAGCTTTTATTTTTCTTTCTAGGGTAGTCACTTCATCTCCTCCTCTTCTTAAATTTTCAAAATCTTCTTCCTTTTTCAAAAACCTTCTTGTTCTCAAACTTAAAACCGCTTTCATAATAAAACCTTGACTTTTGTCAAGTGATTTTTGAACTTTATTTTCTTTAATAAATGTCATTCAATATTAATCGTACTTCGACCAATTTCAAAAAGATATAAAAAAACACTTAACTTTGTTGTACCCCAAATTTTACCCTTAGATTCATTGATCATTTGCAAATCATCTAAGTCAAACATCCATGCATAACTAACCGTTTTATCTAGTTTGTGTTTATTTTGTAAGCTTGTGGAAGAAGATTTCAAATATCATGGGAAGTTTGTATATGGACATTGAGTTTTCTAATCCGTTGCAAATTTGAGCACTTTAGGGCATTGGATTGGGACTATGGTTCAGGTTTGGTTACAATACGTTGCTGCAAGAGGATTTGGATGCAATTTTCTCTATAAAAAAAGTGTTGACCATTCATGGTTACAAGATTCAAACATAGAAGTCAATTATTACTCCGAGATTCAAACTCACTGAGGAAAATGTACACCAAAGAGGGAAAAACTCTTACTTATAGTTTACTTGGTATACAAGTCATAAATAGTGAAGTCAGGACCGTTCAAGTGGATCATGTGGGTTACATTTTGATTTACACGGGTCAGTAGTGCCCAAGTGTGGAAGGTTGTGATTGATTAATTAACATATAGATAGAATGGTTTTCCATTTACTTAGTCCCTTAATCTTGGTTTGGATTGATCAATTTCTGAATATCATTTTGAACCATCATACAGCTCTTGTGTTGCACCCCAAAATTTGTCGAACCTTTTCTTAACTTGGTTTATGTTTCATTTCATTTTCTTCTAGCATTTGCATTGCATAGCATATTTTCATTTAGTAGGGGATCAAGAGGTTGTGCATGTAGAAGCATGCTTTAATCTCTAGTTTTGATGATGTCAACACTACTCAAGTTCATCTCTTGGTTGCAAAAAGTCAAGTCTTTCAAAGGAATCAAGATCAAGTCAAGTTATCTTTCAAGTCAAGCTACATATGGAACTATGATTCTTCAAGACTTGGACGTATTGCGGGTATATCAAATTCTACCCTTATAATTGATATAC